ATTTATTCTTCATTACATCCATGTCAAGATAGTCTATGTAAAAAAAGATACAGTTTCTTGGTGAGTTGAATTAAAGCATGAAACTGTTTACAGTGTAAACACCTGTAAACCTAGGAAGTAGAGGAACTGGGGCAGGTTGCCTGGGAAGACAGCAGTCCTAGCTTCAGTTAGCATCCTAGTGATAGATTTCTAAAGACAGGGATTCTCTTATTGTTAGCTCCAAAAATGCCATGTTCAGAAGCATTTGAACATTACTCTTCAGAATTAAGGTTTTTTTCTTTCCTTTTTCTTGCAAATGGGCACTTCTTTATTTTTAGGATCTATTTGGTATTGTGATGAAGTGATGTTTTACATTAACCCTTAATGACCCAGATAAGTGTATCACATCTCTAGAAAGAAGAGTATAGATAGTTGTATAGCTCGTAGTGCTTTAAGAGCATGAGAGAATGGCAGTCAGGTGTCATTCATCATCCTTGAAACTCTCACTGATATAGCTGATCATAGAAACTAACCAGCAAGATAACACTGATATCCTAGGTTGAGGTTTCTAGGGGTTCTTTAGACTTGAAGGACAACTCCTAAGCCAAGATTTCAGGGTACTATAAGCAGTAATTCAAATGAGATTACTCTAGGCTCATGTCTAATGTCTTTCTGGAAAATAGAACAAGGAGATAGATTTTTTTTTTTTTAAGCTAGAGGCTCACTCTGTCACCCAGGCTGGAATGACATTCACGGCCACCCCAGCATCGACCTACTGGGCTCCGGAGACCTTCCACCCCACCCTTCCAAGTAGCCAGAGCTACGGGTGTGCGCTACCACGCCTGGCTAATTTTTTTCATTTATTGTAGAGACGAGACCCCACCATGTTGCCCAGGCTGGTCTCGAACCCGTGGGCTCAGGCAGTCCTCTAGCCTTGGCCTCCCAAAGTCCTGGGATTACAGACTTGAGCCACTGTGCCTGGCCAGAGACAGATTTTTTTAAACTTTGCTATGTGAGGACTTACTAGGGAGAGAATGTTAGATGAGTCTCTTTGTGGGTCAGGTATTCTAAATTATGTTTGTCAAAGACTGGAGTTATGTGGAGATTCTGAGTAGAATTTGGAAGCTACTTATCTTTAATAAAGTTATTAATAGTTTAAAATTGTTTTTAAACTGTGTATATGTTTTTATATTGCTCCATTGGTTAAATCATTGAAAATTCCAGCAAAGCTATTTATAGTGATGAACTAAAATTAATTTTTTTTTTGCTTTCTTTAGATATATAGCTTTTCTGAAAGGAAATATGTAAAAATAATAAAGCTTGCTTTTTCACAAGGATAAGATTGGGTCATGAAAGGTAAACTTTGATTTTTGCATTGGACAATGGTTTTGTAAAGAGCTGAGTAGCAGAGTTATTTCAAATTTATGATATCTGTTCTTGAATTAACCATTTGGATACTATTGATGCCATCTGTGAATGTCAATCATGTATTTTATTTAGATTAAGTTTGTTATATTTGAAGGCTTATGTATAGATTGAAGCTCTGCTTTCTGACATTTTAGAACTTAAATATTTAATTTAAAGATAACTTTCATAATATGTAATGTTTAGTTATTAACTGAAGTGTAATAGTTTTTATGATTAATTTTTTGTTATATCTACTCATTTTATATATTTGACATGTTTATTCTAAAGAAAGCTCTCTGCTCCTCCAAATGCTCTAAACTGACGGAGGAACTTTCCTCCTGCTTAGCTCCATTCACATTGTTCTTTGACTAGACTCCCTGGTACTTTTCCTCTGACTATAGGCTTGTTCCTCTTTTATCCCAGGCCTCTGACGAGTATTACCCTATCTACTTATACTGTCTATTTTACATTATTACTTTGCATGTGCCCTATAAGCAGTCCTAACTGTACTGCCAACTTTATGAATACATCCTGTACTTTCCCTGCCGTGTTGTCCTTGTTCATTCTCTTCCTAGAACACCTGCCTTCCTCATCCCATCTATCTTTGCCTGCCAAGTCCATATTTAGCTTCTGGTGCCCATCTTTAATGCCTCTTTTTCCACAAAGATGCCTTTTGGCCCCCACTCCTACAACTAATTTTAACCTTTACTCTTTATTGCTCTGCACATAGTCCTTCTCAAGGATTCCCTCTCTTCCTGTTTCTACGTTAGTTTGTGTGTACTTGCCTGTGGGAAAACCACAATGTCAGTGTAGGCATTGTGTCATACTTTCTATCTCTTCTAAGTACTTATCAGAGCATCTTGCATGAGCGATTATTGAGTCTGTGATTGATAAAGTGAATTGTTAACAGCCAGTTGCTGCAATATTCTTTCCGAACAGGCAGTGCTATATCTCTAGTTCATTATCTATGAAAAGAGATGAATGTAGCTTTATTAGAAATATGATTTACATGATTATTAGATTATATTATAGTTCTAGATTTGCTTGTAACTGATTAAAATACCAGATCTTAAAATAAGTGGAATTGTTTAATAAAGTGGCCAATAGCTTTCTTACATACCAGTAATACTCATATGGGGATGTGGAAAAATTATTTTCAAAATTAATAGCAGTGACAATAATAATAATATGAAATGCTTAGAAATAAACTAATAAGAAATTCATGAGATATATAAATAAAACTACCAAACTTAAGTAAGATGTATAAAAGAATATTTAGAGTACTGTCAATATAGAAACATTTCTGGATAACAATACTGAATATTGTGGAGGTTTCAGCTCTGTCCAGATTGATTTGTAAATTTACCTTAATCCAAATATAAAATTTACTGGTTTCGTTTTGTTTTAGTGACAGGATGATCTGTAGGAATAAATATATTAGGGCAGTCATGGCAATTTTAAAAAGAAGAGTAATTAAGGAATTTGAAGTGAATGTGAGATTCCTTGTCAGATATATAAACTGATGGTCTTTAATGCCATTTGGTTTCAGTATAAGATTTAAGATAGCAGTTTTCGTTTTATCACAATATTTGAGATATCAATGGACAGTTTTAGAGGTCCAAATAAACTCTTTTATATACAGTAACTTTATTTACAGGTCGATGGAAAAGTTATTGATCACTTAATATATAATGCTAGGAAAATTGGCTATTGGGAAAGGGGAGGAATAAGGCTATATCCTCACCTTTAATTTGAATAGATTTCAGAAGGCATATATGGTGAATGTTAAAAAGGAAAACAATCAGAAAAAAATAGATAAAAACTAGCATTGGGTTCCAAAAAGACTTTCTAAAGCTAAAACCACGGAAAAATCATAGGAAAAGATTGATAATATTTGACTGTATAAAAATTGAGAAGCACATGTATGTCTAAACATAAAACTAAAAGATAAGGGTAACTTTAGGGGAAAATATTTGCCACATATAATAGACAAAAGTTTGCCCTCATATATAAATAGCTCTTATGAATAAATAAGAAAAACACTTAACCTTCCCATAAAAGGGCAAATGCTATTAGTAAAGAAATGCAAATGGAAAAATGCATATAGACAACTAGTGTCAATATAAATTAAAATAGTATATATTTAATAATGACGGAACATCATTTTAACTATCAAAATAAGAAAGATTGAAATTTCATACTTAAAATTGTTAAGTGTATGACAAAATGGGCATATTCATGTATTATTTACTGACACATATGTTAAATCAGTATGAATGTTTTGGGAAAATAAAAGGTTTTGTTTGTTGTTTTTTACTATTTGAGCAAGTAATTCTACTCCTAGTGATCTATCCTGAAATAATTGAGATGACTATTAATCATTTGTTGATGTATAAACAGATCACTTTAAAACTCAGTGGCCTAAAACAATAAACATTTATTGTCTCACAGTTTCTGTGCATCAGAAATCCCTGTGCAACTAGCTGGGTATCTCTTTCTCAGGGTCCCTCACAATACTACATCAAAGTGTTGGCCAGGGCTAGAGTCATCTCGAATTGACTAGCGGATGATCATGTTCCAGGCTTAGTGGCCATTGGCAGGCCTCAGGTCTTTGCTAGTGGTTCGTTGCCACATGGGTCTCTCTGTAGAGCTGCTTACAGCATGGAAGCTTACCTGCTTGAGGAATGGATGGAAGTCCTCTTCTTGTACCCTAAACTTGAAAGTGATATCTCCTCCCTTTTGCAGTTGTCTGTTTGCTAGAAGTAAATACTAGGTCCAGCTCATACTCGAGGGGAAAGAATCACACAAGGCCATGAATACCAGGAGGTCAGGTCGTTGCGAATATATTTGATGCTGCTACCACACAGGTTAATAGACAAAGGTTGCCATCATAGTTTTAGGGTGCTATTTTATAATGGCAAAAAATAAATGCATAATTACATATACTGAAATAATGAAGCAATGTAAACATTTTGTAGCAGGAGCTGTGAAATCCATACAGTGGTAGTATACAGTAATTGCATAGTAATGATACCTTTTACCTTTTTTGAGAGTCAGTCATGTACTTAGGCATTTCCTAGGTACTTCAGAAATATCTTTGATCCTGACAACAATCATGTGAGGTGGTGGTTATTTTCATTTTACAGATGAGAAAAACTGATATTCAGAGACAGAGTAGCTCATTGAGTTCTCAGAACTGGAATGCCGTTCTAGGGTTGATTATCTGGCTTCAAAGCCCAGTGACCACACTGCCATTTAAGAATGTTTATGAAAAATATTTAAGGCCATGAGGAAGACTTACAAAACAGTTTTCAAAAAGTGATCTCTGTGGATATTATTTACATGTAAGAAAAAATAGATAGTCATAAACATTGTCTTTCAGTGGTAGAATAATAAATATTAAAAAATCCTTTAAACTTTTATTTCATTTTAATCTTTCACATTCTGCATGTATTCCATTTATAATCATTTTTAAAAGTCAGAACATTGTATAAAGTATTTCAGTTCCCTGTGCTCCCAAGAAAAAACCACCAGGGAAGACTTATACACACATTTTCATGTTGAATTGAAGTTTTACTTAGTAATGAATCATTCCCTTTAATCTACTCTTCTAGATAACTGACCTCTCATTACCCAACTATCTGATGGCATCTTCAGTTGGACTGCTTCCTACCCAGCTTCTGAATTCTTACTTGGGTACCACCCTGCGGACAATGGAAGATGTCATTGCAGAACAGAGTGTTAGTGGATATTTTGTTTTTTGTTTACAGGTGAGTTTAAGGCCAAGGGTTGATTTCTCTCTCTCTCTCTCTCTCTTTCTCTCTCTCTCTCTCTCTCTCTCACAGGTGAGTTTAAGGCCAAGGGTTGATTTCTCGCTCTCGCTCTCGCTCTCGCTCTCGCTCTCGCTCTCGCTCTCGCTCTCGCTCTCGCTCTCGCTCTCGCTCTCGCTCTCTTTTTTTTTTTTTTTTGGTATTGCATTGCTGATGTAACAGAATACACTGAAAATAATTTGAAGGTTTTTCCTTTTTCGATTTTTTTCTTTTCTTGTTCTTTCAGTACTACATATTTTGACAACATTAAATGTTTTTACTTGTATAGATGTATAGAAGCATGCAGAACTGAACTGATACTTATGAAAAATTACCCTAAGGAAGCAAAAAAAGGAATGGCAAAATAGGGATACTTTTGCAGTGATTATTTTCAAAGTCATCACAAATCAAATACTGAATTGTAACTTTGTGTGAAGTATTTCTGAAGATAATTTTAGCAAGATTGGGTGGAGTTGAATTTTTATCTAATACTTTATCTTCAAATTATTAAAACTCTATCATTTATATTTTTTAGATATTATTTATACTGACAAGGTAAATTTCTTGTATAATTTTATGTGAACAAAAATATGTTTTAAAATGTATTGCCCCTGTAATCCCAGCACCTTAGGAGACTGAGGTGAGAGGATTGCTTGAGTCCAGGGGTCTGAGACCAGCCTCGGCAACTTGGTGAGACCTCATCTCTACAACAAATTTTTAAAAATAGCCAGACGTGGTAGTGTGTGCTTGTACTTCCAGCTACTTGGAAGGCTGAGGTGGAAGGACCGCCTGAGCCCAGCAGATCAAGGCTACAGTGGCCATGAGCAGCATGCCACTGCACTGCAGCCTGGGTGACAGAAAAAAAAAAATGTATTGCCTCATAAAAAATGTCTCAAGTTTTCTATCACGAATCCAAATAAGATTTGTGTAATGAATTATTATTGTGCAAATTGAAATATAGTTTAGGGCACATAAAATTCCATATAAAAGATTGGTAAAAGAGGAAAATACTGTCATATAGGCACATTTATTCAGGGTCTTTAAATTGCATAAAGAAAGAGTTAAAAATTCATTTGTGATAACATTTCATTCCTGAGATTTATCAAAATAGAAAATATAATAATTTTTGATGAGTTAGTAAGATGATGATGATAACTGACTTTTTTTCTGTGCTTTATATGTCACATATTTAAGCTCATTTAGTTCCTACAAAGTCTTATGATATACAGACTTTTGTTATCTTGAGCCATTGTATATCTCTTCCCAACTCAGCTTTCAGTGACATCACCTTAGTAGCTTGAAATTGGCCATGATAGAAATATTTACACCATGGGAAAGTGCAAATGCTATAAATCAAGCCTCCTACTTCTGATAACCAAGAGCTGGCTTACCAGGATGCCAGATTAGTAACTTGTTTACGGCCACAGCTGTAAGGGGTAGAGTCAGGATTTAGTCTGGAGACTATGCTCATAACCAATAAAATACAGTTCATCCCTCTGTATCTAGGGGGTACAAATTTACAGGTTCAACCATGGATTGAAAATATATTTAGAAAATAGCAATACAACAATAAATATGCAAATAAAACAATATAACAACTGTTTACATAGAATTTATTTAAGATTTATATGTAATCTAGAGATGATTCAAAGTATACAGGAGGATGTTTGAAGATTATATGCAAAATACTGTATCATTTTATATTAGGAAGTTGAGTATCTGCAGATTTTGGTATCTGGGGGTCCTGGAACCAATCCTCTGCGAATACCAAGGGACAGTAGTTTAGTCTCCTGAGCAGGTGATACTAATGAGATAATGCTACAGACTTATCCTTTATTAGCTTGTTAGTTTTCATGATACCATATTACAGATTTACAGATTTAATTTTGGTAGCATGATTCTCAAGTTTAGAGGCACTATATTATAGTAAAAATACTATGATAAAGCCACAATTAATTTTCTGTGTGCTTATTTACAAGGTTAGTAAATAAAGTAAGCCTACAAATGTGGAGTACTGGTTAAATAAAGTTTGTGAATAAAAGGGATTGCTTTAAAAGTTGTAATATATTTGACATTCAGGGAGTCAGTTTTGACTTTTCTTTACTAATTTTTAACCCAGAGCTATACTTCCTTTAGATAATGTGAATCTAGGATAATAGATTTTATTATTGTTGGTTTATTTGTAGTAATATGGCATGGTAATCACATATTGTTAAACTTTCTATGCATTGTATATACCGTAGTTAAATTTGTAATCACGAGGTAATAAAAAATTCTGATGTACACTATATTCTAGATATTTTAGTATAAATTTAAGCATATTTTACATTTTTTAAATTTCTTTTTTCCTTTGACATTACATTTAAGTACTTTGAATTTCTCATTATTAATAGCTTGCAGAGGATTTTCACAGCTTGAAACTTTATATTTTATGCATCTTAGTAAAAATCTCTTACCCTAGATTCACGTTATCTAAAGAAAGTATAGCTCTGAAATAAAAATTAGTAAAGAAAAATAAAAACTAACTTCTTGAATGTCAAATATATTACAACTTTTAAAGCAATCTCTTTTATTCACAAACTTTATTTAACCAGAACTCCAAATTTGTAGGCTTACATATTTACTAACCTTGTAAATAAGCACACTGAAAATTAATTGTGGCTTTATCATAGTATTTTTACACAATATAGTGCCTCTAAACTTGAGAATAATGCTACCAAAAGTAAATCTGTAATATGGTATCATAACAACAGTAAAAATGAAAACTAACAACTATAATCAATGGAGTTTTATATAGTGCTTCCTAAACTATAGCATCTTCTTTTATCTAGTGATTTCTTAACCTTTGTTTGAGCTGGCATATTTAAGTGTAGGATTCAAGACAGGGGAGAAAAGGCATATATTTCTTTGTCTAGAAATTTAGGAAAAAAAAAATGAAAGCTTATGAATGCTTTAGTCCGATTTATTGATGTTAATTATAGCTTAATTTGTTTCAGGAAGAATTTAATGCAGTTTATAAAATAGATACAGAAGAGTAAAAAGGGGGGTAAGAAGTCATCTTAAAGGAAAAATTAGCATCGAAAAAAATATAAAGCTTAGGGTAAAGTAGTAGAGTAAGTATATTCTTGAGGTTCTTCCTGTTTGCTAGAAATCAGTCCCACATTTGCCTATGAGTTTTATAACCACCAACCTAAAGAGAATCCACAGTGTCAATAAAATTAAAACAATAAAATAAGTGTTCAGAGAAAGCCACAACTATTTCTTGTACACATTGAGTATCTCTCATCTGTAATGCTTGGGACCAGAAGTGTTTCAGATTTAGGATTTTTTTTTTTTAGATTTTGGAATATTCGCATTATACTTATGGATTGAGCATCCCTAATTTGAAAACCCAAAATGTTTCAGTAAGCATTTCCTTTGCACATAATGCCAGTGCTCAAGAAGTTTTGATTTTGGAGCATTTCAGATATTCAAAATAGAGCTACTCAGCCTGTACAGAAATCTGACTTAGATTCCAAGGTCTATTTAGTTACTCTTTTCCATGTCCTGTGTTCTTCCATGTACTCACCGGCTAAAAACCCAGTCCTGGGTAGATCCAAGTTTGATCTGCTTTGTACCTGTTCCCTTGGGAAAGTGTTATAACCAAACAAATGGATAATACTTAGCTCATGTTTGCAGACCTTCACCTGGTTTCTACATTTTAACTCTTCCCTTTGTTTTCTCACTCCCCTGCTCTGTGCTTGACATTTGAACTATCTTCACTCTCCTGACAATTTTGACTTCATCCTCTACTTCCCTCTTCATTTTCAACACATGATTGCTTTTCTGGCAGAACAGAAAAATCAGACTACTTCAAATGGAAACTCCCTAAATTTTCACTTAAGAAATCTATTAACCTTTTTGTGTTCCTGCCTTTACTCATATCCTTTCCAGTTAACAGTGGAGGAGACATCTTTCCATATAAGGCTCGCCCTCTGCCTGTGATTTATTCTTTCCTTTTATTTCAGTAGGGAAACTTTTAAAACAGTTATGTATCCTTCCTCTTCTTATTTTTATTAATCCTTTTTTCTTTAACACTTCACTGGCTAAAGAAAAGGAAGAGCGGTATGTTGGAGGAGAGTCAGTACAGATTTATCAGGCCCTGGGATCCACAAGGGCCACTGGGAAAATTTAATGTGACAATATAGCCATTTTACCCTTGCTGGGAGCCCGAGAAAGTTTTTTGCTGGGTCTGGGCTTACTTTTTTTTGGCCCTGCCACTTGCTTCCCTCAAATTGCTGTTTCTGAGGCCATCACTAACCTTGTCTAAATACTTGCGCTTTCCAGTTCTCATCTTGCTTAAGACTCTGTTGATCACACCTTTATTATTAAAACACATTTCCCCTTAGTTTCTTTGATACCATCTTCTTTTTTTTTTTCCTACTTGCGTGTCTTATGATTGTCTTCTTCCTTTCATGCCCTATATCTATGTTTCTAAAGATTCTAACTTTAGGCTTTCTAATCTCACTCTGTAAACTTTTCTTGTGTGTGTGCAAATTAATTACTGTGGTGGCTGTTACTATGTTTACTGTGTAAAGATCACCCCCTTCTAGTATATGTCTTTATGCTCAGCCTTCTTTCTATAGCTTCAGACTCACTTTCTAATTTCCATGAGTTGCTTTTGATGTCCAATAGGCACCTCAAATTCAGCATATTGTACAGAAAACTTAGCCTCTTATTCTCACCCCCCAATTAATTCTCTAACATTGTCTCAAATCTTTTTACATGGTATTACCATTTACTGATAAGTATTAAACTTAGATGTTTTCAGTAAGTATACTTTGTTTCTTTTAAGAGAACTAGCATATTAGAGAACAATTACAAGATTTAAAGACCTACCTTTAAAATACCTAATTTACTTAGAATTTTACTGAGTGACAGGTACTCACTTAATAGTATACCCCGTGTCAGATTCAAAGTTCTTCCTCTCTTCCACTCACTCTCTCAGCATGCTCTGCTTCTACTGCCTCCTGCCCCCGCCACCCTCAACTCTTGGATTTAGAATATTTTTCCCATATAGCTTATGTTATAATTGTGGGTAGGTTTAATTGGAACAGTATTATAGTATAGGTTCACTTTTGGTTAGAGAAGTCTTTGTAAATTTGCTAGGACATTAAACAGCGCCTGCTGTATTTGCTCCAAATCCTAAATGTTTATTTACAAATGAACTTTGGAATAAAAAACATTTAGAAGATTGTTTAGACATTCTGATGAATTGTATGTAGAATGTTGAAGTACAGAAGGTAAGTATAGCTTTCTACTGGACAATGAGAAACTGAAGTCCAAAATGGTTTAAGGAACTTCCCTGAAATCACATCACTAGTGAATGGCTAAACCAAGACTAGCAACCTTTTAGTTTGATGCCTTTTTTGGTATCTCTTTCACTAGCACTTTTTAAAAAATCATTATCACATTTTCCTTTGTTTTTCTTTTTCCTTAAAGACAATTTTTTGTTCACAATCTCGTAGTTTCTTTTGAAGTTTATTGGTATTTCATTTTTTACAGTGGTTCTTAATAATTTTAATTTTGTCTGCACCAGAAAGTTCCTTGCAAATGGTAATGCTTCTCCCTTAATGGGCTTAGAAATACCTATGTACTAATTTATAGTCTTACAAACATACATTGCTGCATTAATTATACTAATAAAGTTGAGTCAGCTGTTACCTCTATTGTAGACATTTTTAAATTCCTCAAATGAAGCTTTAATGGTGCAAAGCGACAGGTTTGACTTGTCTCAAGCAAGCTTCATTTATATGAACCAAAAGGGATGTATGTTTGCTGTGTTTACCTGATAACATGGAGTGGTTACCTTTATAGACTTTGGCCCTCTACACTCAAGAGAAATAATGTGTAAACTATTTTAAAAAGTATAAGCTCTTACCTTCCATATTTGAGACGTACCTCTTTGAAGCATTTCTAACCCAAGTATTTATTGGATTTATTTCTCTCTTTTTTCCTATATAAAATATTGATAACTGTAATATTTTATTTTTATTCGCAGATTATTATAAGTATAGGCCTCATGTTTTATGTAGTTCATCGAGCTCAAGTGGAATTGAATGCAGCTATTGTAGCTTGTGAAATGGAACTGAAAACCTCTCTGGTTAAAGGCAATCAACCAAATACCAGTGGCTCTTCATTCTACAGCAAGAGGACCCTAACATTTTCTGGAGGTGGAATCAATATTGTATGATTCTAACGAGATGTATGATTGTCAAGAGCCTAGTGTGCTGTCCAAGGTCTAGCAGTCAATTGACTAGTGAGCAGAGACAAGTTCTAATTGTATTACGGCACAAACAAAACTGACTAATTTTTAAATTGCACAATTTTTTTTAAAACAAAAATCATTTTCTGAATATGTAAGTGTAAATGTAGATGCAATTTTGGCTGCACCTCTTTATCATGCCTGTATCGGCCTATAGTTCTGCACTTTAGTGTTTTTTAATTGTTTTATTTCTGGATACTTATGAACAAAGAAATAACCCAAATATGTTTTCTGCTTAGTGTCTTTATTTATAAAGCCCATGAATAGTTGTATGCATCTTTCCTACCTATAAAGTAAAACTTGCAGTTTTAAATGTATAATAGTATTGAATGTTCTTTGCTTTGATAGTCTTTCCAGAAAGGATACACTTTTTTGTTTTTTTCCGTTTTACTGGTTTTTTTTTGTTGTTGTTGTTTGTTTGTTTTGTTGAGTTGGAGTCTCTGTTGCTCAGACTGGAGTGCAGTGGCCGCTCCCGGCCACCGCAGCCTCGATCTGCTGGGCTCCGGCATTCCTTCTGCCTCAGCCTTCCAAGTAGCTGGAACTACAGGCGCGTGCTACCACGCCCTGCTAATTTTTGATTTACTGTAGAGATGAGGTCTCACCAAGTTGCCCAGGCGGGTCTCAAACCCACGGGCTCAGGCAATCCACTCACCTCAGCCTCCCAAAGGCGCGGGATTACAGGCTGAGCCACCGAGCCCGGCTTGTTTTACTGTTTTAAGTGGGACCACTTTGTTTCCCATTTCCGTTTCCATACTAGTTAGAGAACAGACATTAACTTGCGGTTGAATGTATTTGTGCAATCATCGCATTGTTGCAGGGCCATTTACACCTGTTCACAAAGCTTAAATCCTACATTGTGGGACTGAAGTGCTCTTAAGATGCCTTTTTATTTTCACTGTGTAATTTGCAAAGCAAAAGGGAAATTATTTAGTGGATGATGGCTCAAAATTAGAACTTGTTCTAATTAGATTACATTGGCTTTATCCTCCTTAGATCCTTTATCAAAGGGCTGTCCCATTGCAATCTTACTAACACATTTTATTAACCTTTTTTCCTTTTTTATATTAATAATTAGGCTTTGAAATAAAGATATTATTTCTTTGAAAATGGTGGGTTTACCATCATTGAAGATGTCACTCAGGTGGCCTTGTTTGAGCAAAACGCCTTTTTTAAAAAAAAACAAAACCAAGCTTTAAAATCATGTTAATAATTTCATTGAAGTACATATATATTTGTTCCCATAGTCTTCAGCTTTAAAGCTATAAATATAATATTAACTTAATGCCCAAATTTGTATTATTTGCCCTACTATAAGCAGTTTTATTTTGTTTTTTGGGGTACTTGTTTTTCTCTGACAAGACTCAGGAATTCTGAAATGTGAAATTAAGTGTCTCAATTCTTTCTCTTGTAACGAATCAAGTGTATTTATTAGTAGCACTTATGACTATAGAATACAATAATTTGGCATATAATTCATATTACATATATATTATTAATTGTCATCTTTATTCTTAAAATAGTTTAATTATGAACTTAATGACAAGTTTTTTTAAACAAATGAGGCTGTAGATGCTAATTTTCTGGTAGGTATCTGTTTTTGTTATGAAAATACCAACTTATCAGAGCCTTCCAGTTTGCCTTTTCATTAGGGTAAAACCTTTGCCCTGATTTACTAAAGTACAAAGGAATTCTTTAGAAGCAGATTATTCTAGCCTTATGCTAGAAATGAATTTGATCATTTTAATGTGTAATTTGTTTGACCTATTCTGGTATAATTGTTTTCCTTTCCTTCTCAATTCATATGTTTTCTCCCCTTTGCATAACAGTAAAGTTCATTTATATGTTATGCCAAGAAGATTTCAGTGCAGATACTCTGAGAGGCACCTAGGTCTACAAGACATAATTGTTCTCCAAATCCTTTTTTCTGTTATTAATAGAAAAATAAATATTAATACATAGTATTGTTTTTTATTTTATAATAAACAATATTTTTCTTATTCTTATTTTTTTGAATCCTAATTACCTGTTTAGTTTTTTTTCTAATTTGAATCCTAATTGCCTAGGTTTTTTTGTTTTTTGTTTTTATGATTTTAACAATCCCAACCAACAGTACACTTGATTTATTCTTTTCTGTCTGATTTGACAAACTTTTTCTTGTGCTTCTTGTTTGTTGGTTAACTTGTTAAAGGACTCATTATGTACAGTCACCATTTTCATACTTGTTTTACACTTCATGTATTTTGAAGTGCATTTATTTACTTAGCATTTGTGACTTGAATAATTTCACCAAATGAATACTTTTGGGTAGTTTGTAATCAGTACTTCCAATTGTTATACTTTGCTTGGTACTTGTAATAAATATGTAAAGGTAAAAGAAATAATTTTTCTGTATTTTGCCAATCATAATTTTCTATAATAAATCATTCATTTTTTTTCTTAAAATAGTACAGATTGACTATTTCTAAAATACTAATCTATAGCTACAGTTTTTCTTTTCTTCAGCATTTTCAGCCTCCAAATAACAACAGTTCCTTATAGTCATGCCACTTGATAAGTGAACTTGGTTGCTGGTTTCTAGGTTGGGTTCACTATAATTTGTTCAAAGCTTTGCCATGCCTTACTCACTCCATTGTTAAACCTATGTCACAGATTTATGGCAGCAATACACTTCTACAGGATACTTTTATGTTGCCCAAATATTGCCTTTAGCCATATATGCTTATGAAATGTCTTCAGTTATGTATATTTATAGAAATAAAATGTATCAGATTTCGCAAACTGTTTAAGTGCAGTATAAAGTTGCTTAATGCACATTTTAAAAAGCATACAATGCACCTAATTTCCAAATTTGATGAAAAATATGTTCTATTTTTATTTCTTTCTATTCTATTTTTGGTTTATTGTTAATTATTTTGCTTACATTTTGCCAGATTTTTGTCATGTAAATTATTTTAAAATAGCAGCTTTAAAAAAACATGTATATACTAATTTACTAAGTGTTTTCATGTTCATTTTTATTTGATCATCTGATTTGTGAAATAGCTTGAAATCTGTACTCTTTTGTTTTTGAAAATAATATTACCAAATCTCTGTTATTAGAATGTGTATTTTATGTTCAGAAGTGATTATGGGTTTATTCAGAGCCAGCCAAAGTGTATCCCTTGATACACCTTGTAACCAGCTACAAACCTTTTAAGATGGCTTTCCCCTGATAGGGACAAGTACATGTCTATAAAATATTTTCCTCCTTGTAAAGCTATTAAGTTCAGTAGTTACTCTTATGTGCCCTTGCTTTAACTGAGCTAAGTGGTGTAGGTGCAAGCATTTCCGTGGTATTCCTGTGTATGTTAATGTGCACTGCTGATTTGGGCTATTTGAGGGGAAGGTGCTGTGACTTACATATGTCAATATTTGTTATCTCTGGGGCGACCTTTTAAATGCTTGAGAAAGTCACTTGGTTTGTGCCAGGTTGGTGAAGGTAAATCCTTAGATGCAGGGTATATGCTATTCACACTCAAGCAGCATTTGCAGAGAAACAGAGGTTTATATGGACCTCAGGAATAACAGTTAACAACTTTGGTTAATGAACTTGGTGGTGGAATCTGTTTCAGCCAGAGGCTACTCTGTGTATCGGAATGATGGTCAGTATAACACTATCTGATTTTTAGGTTGCGCAATGCTAATTTCTGTTGTAATAAAATATTTAGGATATAATCTTTAAAGGTCTTTGCTTTAAGCTGAAAAGCCATTAAAGAAGGGAGAGAAGTCACTGTTCCACAGGATATTTACAACTCAGGGGTTCAAATAACCTCACATATTGAATATAAACTATTAACTTATTCCACAACTAAATTATAACCTAGTACTTCTGAATTGCAAAGTGATGGCTGCAAACTATTTTCTAAGGTGGTTGAAAATTTTTAAATAGATCATTCTAAAGGTGAATCAGTAAAATGTCTTGATAATTGGTATCCAAATCACTTGTGTGCCTGAGAAAATAAAAGGTAATATTTTATTTTTCTCCTCTCTTCTCTTTCTTTCCCTCTATAATTTAGTGGACATGTTCTACAGGGGAGATTAGTTCAGGGGATAAGAAAGAGAGATGCCTCTAAAAATGAGAGTGCTGATAATCAACCCTAAGGTGGAGTACTAATGGTTATAGCAGAGGCCCTATGGGGAAATGATTGTGACATCTTACTTGGTGCTCTCCAGTTTTTTGTTTTTTTGTTTTATACTCCTAAGTCATGAAATGTCACCTGCCAAACAATTATTAGTCATTTGTCCCAGTCTTTGGTAAAATTTATGATGCTTTTCTTAACGTGGAAGGACTTTCACCAGTCTAATTTTCTGTCAGTCTCGACTCTGTTTCCACAACTGTTTCCTTGCGGGCATGTTTCAGCTGCTATAGCACTTTCATCTTAGCACCCAGAATAATACTTGCCCTTGTTTATTTGTAGTAAGTCTGATACGGTTGCACACCTTTTGTTAGTCATTCTGAGCCCAAACTGCTTGCTAAAACACAACCTAGAGAGGCTTTGAGGAGTAACCACATGTTGCAGTCTGCTCAGACAGCTGGTGCAGTGGGGCTTCTGTCAGATAAGTGCATGAGTGCTGCCCTGTGCTCATTCTCCAAGGCTATGTAGTACTGTCGACTGTGGTTGCTTTCCTGGGTTGATGGAACCTGTCAGTACTTCTAGTGGGGGGAAAATATATTTTAATAGTATACTGTATTGTGAGTTAAATATTGAACATTTTCAGGAGTCGCATTATATGCATGGTTGGTGGTAAGCTGTGTGTAGATGGTAAATATTATATTTAACCATTCTTCCAGGGTTTGACAAAGTCACTTATCCACATTGAGTAATTACTGATTGATTCCACTGTCTTAAAAGTGTCTCTAGCCGGGCTCGGTGGCTCAGCCTGTAATCCCACGCCTTTGGGAGGCTGAGGTGAGTGGATTGCCTGAGCCCACGGGTTCGAGACCCGCCTGGGCAGGCGAAACCTCATCTCTACAATAAATCAAAAAATTAGCCGGGCATGGTAGCGCACGTCTGTAGTTCCAGCTACTTGGAAGGGTGAGGTGGAAGGATCACCAGAGCCCAGCAGGTCGAGACTGCGGTGGCCGGGAGCGGCCACTGCACTCCAGTCTGGGCGACAGAGTGAGACTCCAACTCAAAAAAAAAAAAAAAAAAAAAACTGTCAGTGAATTCTGTATAGTAGGCTGCTGGATGAAAGCCTGGAAAAAAATCACACAATGTGCAGTGAAGTTGAATAGAAAAGAGTGAATATAATATGTATTGAACCAAAAAAAGAA